TCACACACACACGCACACACACACACACACACACACACACACACACACACACACACACACACAACCGAACAAAGAATAATATTAATTATTATGTGCGAATATACCCACAGGCACTCTCTCATCGGGAGGGGGGAGGATGTCACTTGTGGGTGTAGGCCCTACTTCTTTACTTTCCCTCTGTTGTTTCTTTCTGTCTGTCACACGTTTCTCTGCACAAAATGACCATTACAAGTATTGTGTTAATGTGCTTCTTTCAACTCAAACGAACTCTGTACTGTCATTTTGATTTTAAATTTTTAAATATATTTAGATCTAGATCTACTTAGTTAATTGTCTTTGACATGTAATAGCAATAAAAATTTTGATTAGATAAATAGCATAAACAATTCGCTTTTAACGCTGAAAGCAACTAACGAATAGTAGTTAAAGAACTACGTGGGTTTTGAAGAGACAGCTTGTACGCTATATTTGACAAAAAATGTTTCTATTTTTGTATCTTGTCAATTAAACGACTAGACATAAGTGGCTGGAGTGAACTTAATCATCTTCACTCTTCTAGTCAAGTGTTCACCCTTCAATTGGGAAGAGCAAAGTGTTGGGGTTTGAAAGCTTTTTGCTACTTTAGAGAGTAAAGAGGGCGACCCTTATCAAAATTATTCATCAAGACTGACACGTATGTTGCTTTAGATAAAAATCTGTTATTAATTAACCAATATATGACTGAAGTGGTTTTAATCTCCGTTTTGTTATTGCTGCGTGTGTCCACAGAGTTCCTTCCTTGGGTTGTCAATCAATATCGATGATGATTATAAATTGCTAGTATAAAGCCAGACAAAACGTTTATGGATGGGTGGTTGGAGGGCGCCATTGGTAATTCCTATTTCTTTACTTCCCCTCTGGTTTTTCTCTATCTGTCTTTCTTACCCCCCCCCCCCCCCCCACCTCGCACTTAATTACCTTTATTGTGTCCTTGTGTTTCTCTTTACTCAAACAAACAAACAAATCTTTATGGGCCATGAGACCTGCTTTGGATCGCAACACTATCTACCACATTTTTAGAAGCGGTTAGAGTAGTTCGCAGGTGGTTGGAGGGCGCAGTTGGTGGGTCTTTTTTTGTTGTTGTTGTTGTAAATGTTTTACGAGGGGGGGTTCAAGATGTCTTTGGTCTAAATATGAAGGAATAAAGATAGAGTTTTATTACTTGGCACACCTACTTTTATTTCTCTGCATAGTCACCATGCTGAGTAACACATTTCTGCCACCTCTCTTTGAACTTCAAAAGTCCTTGAGAGAAAAATGACCCAGAATGGGCCCCTTGCCAGTTTTCAACAGCTTCAACGACATCCTTGTTGTCATGGAAACGATGTCCTTTGGGTGATTTATTTTAGATATATTAAGAAACAGAAAAAATCTGAAGGGGCTAGGTCTGGTGAATAAGCTGGGTGTGGCAGGATTTCAAAGCCGTACTGTTCTGCTGCCTGGACTGTTTGTTAAGTGCCTTGTGCGCAGGGGCGTTGTCATACAGCAGGAGGACCCCCATCACGGAGTTTTCCACGCCTTTTTCTCACCAATTCGGACTGCAATTTTATCAGCAAACCCGAGTAGTAGTCTCCTGTGACTGTTTTTCCACTTTCTAGTTAGTCATGATGATAGCTTCACAATCCCGGAAACACGACAGCTTGATCTTTCCACTTGACGGTGTTACTTTTGCCTTCTTTGGCGAGGGAGAAGAGTGGTTTTTCCATTGCATGCAGGAAGGACATTTTTTTTGTTCTGGATCAAAATGATAAATCCATGTTTTATCCATAGCCACCATGTTTTTAAAGAAAATTGTGTCATCGGACTCAAATTCGAAGGAGAGTTTTGCACGACTCAACCTTCAGTTTCTTTTGCTCACTTGTCAGAAGGCGGGGTACCCACTGCGCAGACACCTTTTTCATGTTAAGATCGTCATGGAGAGTTGTTTCAATTGACCCTACACTGATTCTCGTTTCACTTTAGAGCTATTCAACAATTATACTTATATGTCGGTCTTGTAGAACCAGTTTCTTCACTACGGATACATTTTCTTCTGTAACAACAAAGGATAGGCACCCGTAAACGACCTTCATCCATCACCGACATGAATCCAGATTTGAATTTTCTTACAGAAGGCCCAGTACATGTATTATAGCAAGGCCATTTGTCACCATAAACTTGAACCATTTCCTGAAAAATGTCCGAAGGAGATTTTCCTTGCAAGTGTAAAAAACTTGGTAACTGAGCGATATTCAACAAGCTCCATGGCAAAGCTTCAGAGAAGAAAAACACACGTTTTTGTGCATGTTTTTTTTAAACACAAGCACCTTGGCAAAGAAAAGTCGAA